ACCAATCACAGTTCATTATTCGACTTACGACATCCAATGTAGACCCAGCCTTACTGACTTTACTGGCGTGCGAAAAACGCAGCACCAGTAATTTTCATTGCTACCAACTATACTGTTTTCACTGGCAGTAACTAAATCCATTTTCGAACACATCCTGGGTAGAATATCATGATACTTTAGTGATCAAATTCCCTAGAATCGTGGTCAATCAGCTTGATATAACCATAGAACAAGAAATAACCGAGAAGATGGAGCCATTAGCAGTTTTCGGCATTGCAAATCCGCGAGTCGTCGGAGTGCTCTGTTGCATTCAGTTGCATTCGAGTGAACGAGAAAGGAGAATGAGATAGAGAAGGAGGAAGAGCACTACGACGCCTCGGATGCAAAATGCCGAACGCAGCTATTGATGGAAGACGGGGGCCGCGTTTTTCACGCATGTGCGGTGAAAACAGTAACAGTAAAGTACCTAATACGAGAAAAAAAAGGTGTAGTACGTACCGTTGATCGCCTCTACATAAAACTCGTATAAAAAGTTTTGAATTTAAGGAAATAAAAGTTACATATTTGTAAAGATATATAAACCTAATGACGCACATACAGCGTGAGGAAAAAGTACCGGACCGGTGAAATATCTCGACAAATATGAGAGATACGGAAAAATGTTTCAGACAAAAGTTGTACGGCTTTAAAAGGGCTATATAATGGTAAAATAAATTTTCGAAAAAATAAATTTGTTATGGTTATATAGAGATCGCCGTCATTTTTTAAAATGAAACTCCCTATTGTTTATTATACTATCTTATTCTACTAATTAATATGAACAACTTTTGTCTGAAACATTTTTTTATTTGCCTAATACTTTTTGAGATATTCAAGAGAAAATTTATAACTTTTTACATGTTTAGCTTATAATCTCTCGCGGCGATAACTGTTTGTCGGAGGGAAAAGTAGTACAGGACTTTTTTACTTGATTTAGTCTCAGGAATATGCTGTTGCAATGGTGTTTCAATTATTGAAAATTTTTGTGTATTGTAACACAAAATTTACATACACAAAATAACGTATACTAATATACGTTACTGCTTAGCGGCTGCTCTACGCATGCGCCAAAAACCCGACCAGTCGACTCCCACCACTGCACTGAATGGAGCATCCTTCGTGGCGCCGTGGATCTTAACGAGCACATGTGAGCGACTCTTAACTTTCTGTAACTGCAAATTTCCTTTAACGTTAAAGAGAAATGGGGCAGAAGAAAGTCTTGAAGAGGAAATATGTTAATCCGAAAAAAGGCGGAAATAAAGGCGAGACTAAGAAGGATGTATGCGTTCCAGATAACGCGGAGGTATTTACTTGCTGTTGCTACGTGTTTCCACACGTGCTCTTGTTTATTGTTTTACATATAATTAAAAAAATACAGATGTATTCGTTAACACAACATATCGTAAGTACAACGAAACGTATTAAAGTTATGTTTTCTTGGCAACTTAGAGCTCTGACACGGAAGATTTGATAACGACTCAAATCAATGTTGACGAAGACGACGAAGACGCTACGGATGAAGAAGTGGAAGAGGACGCTGTTATAGCTAGTTTGGACGAAGAGGTAGAAAAAGACCAAGTTATATTCGATTCAGACGAAGATAACTATACCTCAGATGAGGATAAAAATGACTCGAGTGAAGGTAACGATTCAGATGAGGACGGCGACGACTCGAATGAGGATGGCGACGACTCGAATGAAGATGACGACTCGGAGGGCACTGGGTCGGAGAGCAGTCGTGAAGAAGTTGAACAAGATCCGCCGACTAGTTGGAAAGATGACAAGTTAAAGAGTAAGAGTAAAAGCAAGGAATCTCTGAGGCTCAAGGGCAAGACGTCAACATCGAGAGAAATTAAACCAGTGGCTAGCAGATTAGAACACGATAAGAATCGCAGAGGTTTTGACGAGGCAAATAAAAACGACGCACGTAACGAACGAGACACTAAGAGTATATCTAACAATACGAACGACGAGGACGAGTACGTGTACGACAGTTCTGACGAGGAGGACATTCGCAACACAGTTGGGAATGTACCGATAAAGTGGTACGACGAATACGATCATGTTGGGTACGATTGGGAAGGCAAGAAGATTCCTAAACCGGAAAAGGGCGACGAATTGGATAACTTTCTGAAAAGAATGGAGGATCCCGACTTTTGGAGGACTATAAAAGATCCGCAAACCGGTCGGGATGTTGTACTGAACGAGACAGACATAGACCTGATTGTGAGAATTCAAAAGCAGAAAGTTCCCGACGCTCAATTCGACGAATACGCGGTGAGTTGCATTTCTGATGATAATTTAGTTTGTTTAATTTAGTATCTTAATATTTGGACCATTCTTATGTATTGTAAATCGTAGCCGTGGGTGGATTGGTTTACCTCCGAGGTGATGAAGACTCCGCTTCGTAAGTTTCCGGAGCACAAACGTTCTTTCTTACCGTCCAAGAACGAGGCTAGGAAGGTATCGAAGCTGGTACACGCCCTCAAGATGGGTTGGGTCAAGTCCACCGCGGAAATGCAGAAGGAGAGGGAAAAGCACGAAGGGCCGCAGTTTTACATGCTGTGGCAGTCCGATGATCAGGCAGAGGAGATGCGCAGGATCCACAAGCATATTCCAGCGCCGAAGAGACATTTACCTGGCCACGCGGAGAGCTACAACCCTCCACCGGAATACTTGTTCGACAATAAAGAACTTAAAGAGTGGAATAAGCTGAAGGGGACCCCGTGGAAGAGGAAATTACATTTTGTACCGCAGAAATACGGCTCTCTTCGAGAAGTACCTGCATATCCGAGATATGTCAAAGAGAGATTCCAGAGGTGCTTGGATCTGTACCTGTGCTCCAGATCGTTGAAGATGAGATTGACAATAGAGCCTGAGGCCCTGGTCCCGCAATTGCCCAGTCCAAAGGACCTGCAACCATTCCCGACAACCATGTTTATGGTATTCAAAGGGCACACTGATATGGTCAGAAGTATTACCGCAGAACCCGAGGGACAGTTCATCGCGTCCGGCGGAGACGACATGTTGTTGAAGAGTGAGTTACCATACGTACTTGCATATTAGTTGTCAAGTTATGTATTACGCGATTATAAGATTTATTTTGTATGTGGAATAAATTGTATAATTGCAAATTGTATTACTTCAACAGTATGGGAAGTGAGTACAGGCAGATGCTTGAAAACTGTGCCCTGCGGTGGCGTGATACGATGTGTCGCCTGGCGTCCAAATCAAGCCATGTCGCTGATAGCCGTTGCAGCTGACAAAAAAGTGCTTTTAATCAATCCCGGAATCGGGGATAATCATATTGCCAGCAAAACCGATCAGCTTCTCGAGATAATACCACAGAGCGAAATAATAGGTACCATTAATTAAACTGTTGCGTTAATCGTTTACGATCCATTACGAAAATCATTTTCAAATATGACTGACGTACTTCTGTTAGTAAGCGACAGGGTGCAGAGTGCGGTACAGTGGGAGCAAGCGGAAGGTGAGCACTGGAGCAATGGAATTAGGATAATTCTAAATCATTTTAAAACTGTAAAGCAAGTAACGTGGCACGGGAAAGGAGATTATTTCGCTACTGTCATGCCAGATGGCCAGAACAGATCGGTCTTGATAAATCAACTGTCGAAACGAAGATCCCAGTTACCCTTTAACAAGTCAAAAGGATTAATACAATGCGTGCTATTCCATCCGATTAGACCATATTTATTTGTTGCGGTAAGTATTGACGCTCGAGATACACAATGGTATTGATATTTCAATTCTATGTGGATTATCTTATCACTTTCAGACACAAAGGAACGTGAGAATATACGACCTTGTGCAACAGGTGATGATTAAAAAATTATTATCCAATTCGCAATGGATATCAACGATGGACATTCATCCGGGTAAGCTAATACCCACACAGCACAGAAAGATTGCAGAAATGTTACATTGCAAGATTGCAATATTGCAGCAACGTTGCGCAACATTGCTGCAACGTTTCTGGAGGATTGCGGCAACGTTGAAATGTCCGCCCTCAGAGAGATTGCAGTGCAACATTATAGCAATGTTGCAGCGCAATATTTTTGGAATAATTTGTCGTTGTACATAAGCAGAGAATTTACTAATTACATATGCATCCGGGCCTTTTTCAATACACAGCAAGCTATTGCAAAGCAACCTAAGGAGATTGTCGCTTCGCAATAGATGGAGATTGCGAGCAACAGCGCACTGATCAAGTACTTAATAATTCGCGCATTATTGGTATCGACGAAAATAACATTATAAAATTCTCGTAGTTAGAAAAATTTTTAAAATAGAAAATATAGTATTTTTATTATTTTTCAAACATTGCTGCAACATTGCTATCGAAAGTTTGCAATTTTATATCCCTACAATGTCTCTGCAAGATTGCAACGTTTCTGCAATGTAACTGCAACCATCTGTGCTGTATGGGTACCTGGATAATATAATATAGATTTCATTATAAATTACGTTCATGCCGTAATCGTCGTTGTGCTGATGTTTTTTTTTAGGGGGTGATAACGTCTTAGTAGGAACATACGACCGCAAGATGCTCTGGTTCGATTTAGACTTTAGTAAAGAACCTTATCAAACATTGCGATTACATGGAACTGGCGTGCGCGCTGTAGCGTTTCACAAACGCTACCCTCTGTTTGCCTCTGGAGCCGACGACAGGGCACTAATTGTGTCTCACGGAATGGTATACAAGTAAGTTATCTCTGCACTTATCGCACATATATATAATTTTTATACACGTAACACGTGACGCTTGTACTTTTTTTTACAGCGACCTTTTACAAAATCCGTTAATCGTGCCATTGAAAAGATTGTGTAATCACGAATCATATAACGACTTTGGCATTTTGGACGTCATGTTTCATCCTATTGAGCCGTGGGTATTTTCCGCCGGTGCTGACTTTACTATACGAATGTACACGTAAATAAATACACACACATGTTCGGGGTATCTATAGGTAGAGAAAGAAAATGTTGTATTGTACTTTACCCCCAATCTTGTGTAAAATACATAAAATACACGTTGTCTATTCTTTTTTTTATGCTGTCTTTACTTCGTGTAAATCCTTTGTAATATAAATGATATAAATTGTAATTGCACGTAATAACAAAATATAGGAACTCGTACGCTTGCATAAAAGTTACACTTAAAATACGAGACGTTTCATAAAGTTACTTTCATCTTGTAATAAATGCCCTCAGCTCTGGATAGCTCTTACGAAAAGGTCAAATTATTTCACAAGAGTAAAATGTGCTCTACTTAAAAATACATAAAAGTAAATAAATAACAATTGCGCTAGTTTTTATACTAAATCACGACGTACATACAACGATGGAATTTTATCTCTCTCGCCCGTCTCCTTTCTAATATATTTATACTCTCTTTGTTTCTTTTCCAATTTATTAGACTAAGATAAAGGAGAGTGTCCCAAGCATTGCCATTCAGGCTCGCCACAATCGCAGGTGCGACCCGCGTGCCGGACTTGGAATACAGTGACGACACCTCGGCCGTCGTCGAATCGGCATGTGATGTGCAGGTCGTGTATCAAAAAGGTATAGAACTGATTGCCTCCCCATCTCTGTCTCAAGTACACTGACCTAGGGTCTTCCCTCAGTACACTTTCTATAGCTTGCTTTTGCTCGTCAACTTTGTCGTCCAAGATCTCACTTAATTGCATCAAGGCGCGCTCGTTGAAGATGACGGACAGCGTTGCCGTGCGGGGCTGCGCGATCCAGTCTGGTACCCGTATCTCGGCAAAATTACTCTCCGTCGCCGCGCTTATCGACCCGGACGACACAGCTGTCGCGGCGTGAATGTCTGGCAGAGTGCGCGAGGGCGTCAGGGTTTGAGACTCGAGGCCTTCCTCTCCATCGGGCGCCTCGCGTATTCCCATTCTTACGGGGGAATTGTCGACTCTGGCGTGCAACACGTGACGATTGACCAGGTCTACGTCGGTACCGCACACTGTGCTCGGTCCATCCGCGCCGTCTAATAATCTAGAATTGCGCAAGGTCTGATTTTCGGTGTAATTAATTTCGTTGTCGCTCCCCATACGCGTTGAATCCACGTTATCAGAATGATTTATGTCTATTCTGTGTAATCTACTATTTAAATCTCTAATAGAGTCTGTCTGCGACTCGGCTATCAATGTCGCGCTATGCTCGACAGACGAATCCAAGCTGGACCTCGCGTCGGGTGTTCTATTTCGCGTAAAATACGCCCCTCTATGCACGTCCGCGTTAATGTCATTCTGTAACGAAGTATTGGCGTGAGCTTCTGCTAACTGGAAAGATTGCTGTCTCGCGATATCGTAACCATTGAGATTCGGATAAGCTTGGAATTCTTCCACTTGGAGTCTCAAAGCTATTTCCTCGTCTCTGGAAACATCGAGCTCGGTCTGTTCGTCATTGTTCATGTCCGTGTCATTGTTGAAAGAGGCAACCGATGGGCCCTCGCTCAGGCTGAATGTTTCTTCCATGTTGTGGAACGTGCCCGAAGCATTCACGTTGTTCTCTCTCAGTCTGCTGCCCAGTTTCTCGATATGCAACGGACTGTCGTACTGCGGTATATACGGTTTTATATCTAGAACGGGGGTCTGATTAACCATGTCGACACCCTCGAAGTAAATGGTGTAGTTTTCGATTTTCAGTATCTTCACCAGGCTGAGGCCAATGGGGCACGGTCGATGCGGAGAACGCGTCGAGAACACGCCCGTTCTGACTCCATTCAATCTCGGCGGCGCTACCTTCGCACGAGTGTGCGTCGAGTCATTTCTATGAAAGTGAAATAGAATCCTGTTTGGGAGGAAGAAGAAGCAAAGATTATCTACCGTTTCATCCGATATTAAAGTTGATACTGTAAAAGAATTGTGGTCGCTTTACCACATATGAGAAAAGTCCTGCAAGCCCTGCAAGGCGTGATCCGGATTTGTAAACACAGAATTGTAAAGTGTCAGCTTTCCCGGCACTTTTCCGCATACGCCGGGCTGCCTCGGCGTTGCTCTCTTATTGGGAAACCAAGTGGAGATGACGCCGATGGGTTTCAATCTTAGAATATCTTGATCTTTACTCGTGCCAGGCTTCGCTTCTTCCGAAGATATTAGCTTGGACTGCGGAAGAGCTTCCCCGCGCCTTTGCATTTCCAACAGGCGCTTGATATTGTCAACATCTTTATCGAGTATGTACTTCAGGCTTTTCACTTGTTGTCTGCAAATACCAAGTCGAACAAATATTAGGCCATTCTGCAGTTTTATCAGCAGATACAAATGAGGGAGTTTGCCATTAAATTTGAGATCTCTTTATCAAATTATCGCATAGTCAGCAAAAATATTTTACACTAAAGGCAAAATACGCAATTGTATCAATGTACTCGTATATCGGTAGAAAAGGCAAATATTAATGTCACTTAGTACATTAAGATGAGAATTTTTATGAGAGAGTATACCTCAGATTATTAATCTCTTGTCTGGCTGTGTTCAATTGACCGAGCAAATAATCAGCACTTATGCTAGAATTCTGGCAAGTCAGGTCCATGTTCGTTGTCGCTCGCATTTACACGGAACTATCGTACAACAGGTGCTAGCAGACGTGGATAACCCCCTGTAGAGGACCTATCCGAGAAACTCTAAACTCCGTGACATTCCGTGCACGCACGGAATTTCAGAGACGCCGGAAGTCGGATCAGTTCACGACTTCCGGGCGTCGAGGCGGAGCGCAGCACCGTTGTTTCCCCACTATCGACTTCGAACGCTGTGGTTAACGCTTATTTAGATGCGCAGCAATGTTAGGAAACTGTGTCGTGCGTCGGCCAATCAAATTTTTTCCTAGAAATCTTATTCAATGGATGCTTTCCAATTATTTTACACTTTTTAACACAAACGTACACAGGAAGACACAATTCGTTCATACTTGACGCCTTAGAACATATATGTTCTAAGCTTGACGCCGACTAAGGCTGAAATCACATGATGCGGAATAGGAGTACGGAATAGAACGTGCGTCATAAAAGCAACCAATCAGAGCCAGACATTTCCGTCACTCGTTGATACGGCAAAGCTCTGATTGCCTGTTTCTATAACGCATTCTCTATTTTGTACTCCTATTCCGCATCATGTGATTTCAGCCTTATAGAAACAGGCAATCAGAGTGATTTCAGCCTAAACGTATTTTTAAATAACTCCTATATATGCAATCGTTTGTATTTCGTATGTAGACGTTTGTAATGCAATTAGAAAGGTTTGAGTCATTCCCCACACAGCATCGAAATATTTCAGAAAGCTCTCAAAAAGCTGTCAATGAAATATGAAACCTTTCAAAAAAATATTTCAGGCATATTTCAGACATGTTTCAGATACATGAAATGTCCGCGAAGCTGAGATATCATAAATGTTTCTGAAATATTTCTGAATGCTTCAGAAATATCTCTTAAATGCTTCGGAAATATTTCTGAAATGCGTCGGAAATATTTTTTAAATGCGTCGGAAATATTTTTTAAATGCTTCAGAAATATTTCTGAATGATTTCTATCTTACATTTCGCTATTATCATAA